TCTCAGAGTTGGAATATACGCTTTGATAAGTTGATCAAAGCATATAGTTTTATACAGACTTACGGTGAAGCCTATATTTACAAGAGAGTGAGTGGGAGCACTACATCATTTCTGATAAGTATATGTGAATGACATATTGTTGATCGGAGATAATGTAGAATTATTCTGCAAAGCATAAAGGAGTGTTTGAAAGGAGTTTTTCAAAGAAAGACCCCGGTGAAGCTGCTTACATATTGAGCATCAAGATCTATAGAGATAGATCAAGACGCTTGATAAGTTTTTCAATGAGTATATACCTTGACAAGATTTTGAAGTAGTTCAAAATGGAACAGTTAAAGAAAGAGTTCTTGCTTGTGTTACAAGGTGTGAAACTGAGAAAGACTCAAAGCCCGACCACGGCAGAAGATAGAAAGAGAATGAAACTCATTCCCTATGCCTTGGCCATAGGTTCTATAAAATATGCCATGCTGTGTACCAGATCTATTGTATACCCTACACTGTTTTTGGCAAGGGAGTACAATAGTGATCTAGGAGTGGAACACTGGACAACGGTCAAAATTATCCTCAGTGGAATAAGGATATGTTTCTCGATTATGGAGGTGACAAAAAGGTTCGTCGTAAAGGGTTACGTTGATGCAAATTTTGACACTGATCCAGATGACTCTAAATCTCAATCTGGATACATATTGAAAGTGGGAGCAATTAGTTAGAGTAGCTCCGTGCAGAGCATTGTTGACATAGAAATTTGCAAAATACTTACGGATCTGAATGTGGCAGACCCGTTGACTAAACTTCTCTCACAAGCAAAACATGATCACACCTTAGTACCCTTTGGGTGTTAATCACATAGCGATGTGAACTAGATTATTGACTCTAGTAAACCCTTTGGGTGTTGGTCACATGTCGATGTGAACTATGGTGTTAATCACATGGTGATGTGAACTATTGGTATTAAATCACATGGCGATGTGAACTAGATTATTGACTCTAGTGCAAGTGGGAGACTGAAGGAAATATGCCCTAGAGGCAATAATAAAGTTATTATTTATTTCCTTATATCATGATAAATGTTTATTATTCATGCTAGAGTTGTATTAACAGGAAACATAATACGTGTGTGAATACATAGACAAACAGAGTGTCACTAGTATGCCTCTACTTGACTAGCTCGTTGATCAAAGATGGTTATGTTTCATAACCATAGACATGAGTTGTCATTTGATTAACGGGATCACATCATTAGGAGAATGATGTGATTGACTTGACCCATTCCATTAGCTTAGCACTTGATCATTTAGTTTGTTGCTATTGCTTTCTTCATGACTTATACATGTTCCTATGACTATGAGATTATGCAACTCCCGTTTACCGGAGGAACACTTTGTGTGCTACCAAACGTCACAACGTAACTGGGTGATTATAAAGGTGCTCTACAGGTGTCTCCAAAGGTACTTGTTGGGTTGGCGTATTTCGAGATTAGGATTTGTCACTCCGATTGTCGGAGAGGTATCTCTGGGCCCACTCGGTAATGCACATCACTATAAGCCTTGCAAGCATTGCAACTAATGAGTTAGTTGCAGGATGATGTGTTACGGAACGAGTAAAGAGACTTGCCGGTAATGAGATTGAACTAGGTATTGAGATACCGATGATCGAATCTCGGGCAAGTAACATACCGATGACAAAGGGAACAACGTATGTTGTTATGCGGTTTGACCGATAAAGATCTTCGTAGAATATGTAGGAGCCAATATGAGCATCCAGGTTCCGTTATTGGTTATTGACCGGAGACGTGTCTCGGTCATGTCTACATAGTTCTCGAACCCGTAGGGTCCGCACGCTTAAAGTTCGATGACGGTTATATTATGAGTTTATGTGTTTTGATGTACCGAAGGAGTTCGGAGTCCCGGATGAGATCGGGGACATGACGAGGAGTCTCGAAATGGTCGAGACGTAAAAATCGATATATTAGACGACTATATTCGGACATCGGAAAGGTTCCGAGTGATTCGGTTATTTTCGGGAGTACCGGGGAGTTACGGGAATTCGTATTGGGCCTTAATGGGCCATACGGGAAAGGAGAGAAAGGCCTCAAAGGGTGGCCGCACCCCTCCCCATGGGCTGGTCCTAATTGGACTAGGGAGAAGGGGCGCCCCCTTCCTTCCTTCTCCTTTTCCCTTCCCTTTCCTTCCCTCCTACTCCTACTACTTGGAAGGGCTCCTAGTTCTACTAGGAAAGGGGGAATCCTACTCCCGGTGGGAGTAGGACTCCCCTAGGGCGCGCCATAGAGAGGGCCGGCCCTTCCCCTCCTCCACTCCTTTATATACGTGGCCAGGGGCACCCCATAGACACAATAATTGATCCTTTGGATCTCTTAGCCATGTGCGGTGCCCCCCTCCACCATAATCCACCTCGGTCATATTGTAGCGGTGCTTAGGCGGAGCCCTGTGTCGGTAGAACATCATCATCGTCACCACGCCGTCGTGCTGATGGAACTCTCCCTCAAAGCTCGACTGGATCGGAGTTCGAGGGACGTCCTCGAGTTGAACGTGTGCAGAACTCGGAGGTGCCGTGCATTCGGTACTTGATCGGTCAGATCGTGAAGACGTACGACTACATCAACTGCGTTGATATAACGCTTCCATGAACGGTCTACGAGGGTACGTAGACAACACTCTCCCCTCTTGTTGCTATGCATCACCATGATCCTGCGTGTGCGTAGAGTTTTTTTGAAATTACTATGTTCCCCAACATTTCCTGGCCCTAAACCCAAACTGAGATGAAAGGTAAGTAGTTCCTGGCTGAGGTGGACTTGGTATGAAATCATCTTCTTCTGACTCTGCTCCACTGTCTGACTCTGTTTCATCTGGCTCATGCTCTTGTTCAGGCTCATGCTCTTGATCATGCTGAGGCAGCTCCTGTTCCACTTGAGGGAGCTCAGCCTGTTCCTGTTCCACCAGAGTGAGCTCAGCCTGCTCCTCTTATTGTTGTTGTGTTTGCTCTTCTTGCTGGTGTGCCTTCTCCTTCTTTGGCCTAATGCAACTGAACCTGATAATTGGAGGATCCTCATCATCAGAGTGAACTTGAACAAGAGAAATATATGATCTCATGCTCTCATCATGATCAAGGAAAACCTATTGGAAGTGGTTGCCATTCAGAACACAATCCTTCATGTTTTCTGTCATAGTGTTGTCCCCTATCTTAATCTCTCTTAATCCATTCCTATACACTGTCAATCCAGGAACACATCAATAAGCTCTGATCCTGCCCTCAAACTCATACCCAATTTTCTCAACCAGACTAGCAACAACAGTAGGTGTCCAATTATCTATGTCACAATAGTCATACCAAATGGAGTGGCCTTTGTGGTAATCCCCATGCTTGCCTGCACAAAGGAAATAGCCACCATGTATGACCTCAACAGAGAAGTAGTTGCTTAGGGGTCCTGCAAAACATTCAAAGTTGCAATGTTCAAACAAGATAAACAGAGACATTTATGAAGGTTCAGTCAAGCTGAAAATATTCAGTTAACTCCAAAAGTTCAGTTACTGTATCAAACCACCAATAGCTCAGTTAGCTGATTAAGTAGGACCTAACCAAGGGTACTGAGCAAGTAGTAAAGTAATGTAATTGGACCAAAACAAGCAAAGTGTCAATGTTCAGTTATTGTACTAAATCAAGTTCAGACATTTCAATATTCAAACAGGTTAACACATATATATTCAGTTATCTTACACAACAAATTTCATACATGTTGCAGAAAGAAAGCACGGATTCATGGCCTCCACTGACCAAATATAGGATCTTTCATGGGCAAAATGATCATCTCATGCGCAAAACGCATCTCTTATCATGATCAACAATCAGTCCATATAAAGCAAAGAAACAGGGGAGAAGCTAGCCAGCATGGCCTCCCCTAACATGCTCCAAAATCAAACCCTAATTTTGCTATGCAAGCCCTAGACCATCTCTAAATACAAGATCCACAACACATCAGAAACCCTTGCATTGATCTGTGGCCCTGCTAAACGTCCGCTCCTAAAATCCTGAACCCTACACCATCCGTGGCAAAAAAGGAGAGAAATAGCCCAAACCCTAGCACCTGTGCGCAATTGACTCGCACGCAAGCTCTTCCCCGGGAGCTTTCATGGACAGATCGAGCACAGAACCTGCCGGCGACGGTGACGTACCATAGAGGGGCGGCGAGGCATGGTCGTCACGACGCGACGATGCGAGAGGGACGTGACGTAGGCCCCTCCCAAATGGTGCGGACGGTGGCGGCGCAGCGTCCGGCGACGAGCTCACGGTGTCGTCGCCACGCTCGCCCACGCCGGAGACGACGAACCACCTCGGCAGCGACAGCGAACCAGGGGAGAAGGGAGAAGCAGGGGAGTGGCTCGGGTGGGCTCGGTCGGAGCGGTTGGGCTCGATCCGACCAGGTGGCTCGATCGATCCGACCAGGTGGGGGATGTTTTAATAACTGGCTATTTTGCAAAAAAGACCTGCATGCATGCGTATTCGAGCGAGCTGGGCACATGTGGCAATCAATGCACACTTGGCATCGGTTGACTCGGTCCAGATCAGCACATATGTACACAAAACCGTATATTGGACTGTAGATGACCCTCTAGAGCAAGTTTGGTGAAACGCAAGTAAATGGACCTGTAGTGATTTTTTTCTCAATTTATAATTATACCTATTCACTCCTCTTTAGGTTTTATGTGTATCCTTCCACAAAGTACGTCGCGTTGCAAGGAGAAGGAACATTGCGTCACGTTACAAGAATTTTTTTATTGAAAATTCTTCATCCGCGTCAGTTATTCTGAACTGAGGGAGCTGTATTTTTTTTCCAACAAAGTACTCCATCTAGCAATTCGGAAAGAGAAGCAATCTGATCCAAACAATAATCTGCCAAGTCATCGTCGTTATCTCACGGTAATCTCAACTGAAACAACTCCTCTCTAGACACTGCTGTTGACTCCGCCGTTTTCTCAACCCACATGGCTCTCGAAGCGCGCCTCCGCCTCCCGCTCGCCGGGCCAACTCCGGCCACCGCTTTCCTCTCAGGATCCAACCCCAAACCCAGTCACATATCCTTCTCCCTCAAACCCGCCTCCACTTCTCTCTCCGCCGCCAATGCGCCGCCGCCCATCGTCGTCGTGGGCTCCGCCAACGCGGACATCTACGTCGAGGTCGACCGTCTCCCTCTTGTCGGCGAGACGGTTGCCGCGAGTGCCGGTCACAGCCTCGCCGGCGGGAAGGGCGCCAATCAAGCTGCCTGCGGGGGGCGGCTTGCGCTGGGGCCCACCTACCTCGTGGCGCGCGTGGGGGACGACGCCAACGGGCGCCTCCTCGAGGGGGCACTCGCGGACGCCGGCGGCGTCCGCCTCGACCGCGTCGCTCGCGCCCCCGGCGCGCCCTCGGGGCACGCTGTTGTCATGCTCATGCCCGACGGGCAGAACTCCATCATCATCGTTGGCGGCGCCAACATGGAGGGCTGGGCACCGGAGGTCGACCAGGAGGACCTGGACCTGATCCGGCAGGCCGGCGTGCTACTGCTGCAACGGGAGATACCCGATTGGGTCAACATTCAGGTCGCTCAGGTAGTTGCTCTAGCCCTTTCCGCTTATATACCCACTTTTGAGGTCACATTAGATTGAATTTTATGGTTCCTAAAAAAGATGAATTTTATGAGGGTTGGAATTCTTTCTCTGATAATGAAGACATGATTCAATTGAAGTTCTATTCTTTTTGTGCATTTGGGTAATTGCTTTCACTTAGTATTTGGTTGATTACTACTCCTATAGTCCCTCTGGAGATTTGCTAATGGCTTCTGGCTTGGCAATGTAAGGACACATGAGGAGAAAAAATATTGTGGTTGTTAACTTAGATTATTGGGAATGTTAAAAAAAAATCTGACGTCAGATTTTTAAGCATGGCAAATTATGTTGTCGCGAGGATGACAATTTCCTGTAGCAAGTATGGCAAATCTTGGCAAAAAACTGAACATTGCAAGGATTTGCCATGCTTGCTAAGGGAAATTGCCATCCTTGCGACAACATAATTTGCCATCTCAGGTGTTCGATTTGCTATGCTAGAAAATCTGACGTTCGATTTGTAGAGAAATCCTAGATTATTTTGTATTTATTGCATTAGCACAGATCAGTAGCTTGTGCTGCTGTGAAGCAATAATTCATGTGTCGAATGTTCTTAATTAGTTGGAATTAGCCCTTTTGATTTAGTTAGACCTGTGAATGTTTTGATGTGTTCTCTTCTTTGGTTTGCGATTCTGATCCGGTGCCTTCAACTGGACCAAAGGAGCAACGATACTAATTTGTGATACATCATGAACATGACTTAGATATTCCCTGAGTGGAATATACAGTCTCTTTTATTTGCCAAATGTAGTGGCCAGCATATTTTCAAATACGGTAATTTGTGCAAAAATGATGGAACAAGATATAAAAATAAAGAACTTTAGGTCTCTTAAAGGTTGTGGGATTTTCATAGGAATATTGCAGGATTTTAATCCTTAGGAATTTCTCCAATAACGGCCATCTGGATCATAGGATTGAGGTTCTCAAAATTCGATGAAATGCAATCTAATCCCCCCTTCCATATGAATCTTAACATGAGCACAAACGTCATTTTATTTTTCCTTTCAGAAGTCCAATGCTCTCTCGCTACATTCCTCCAAAATTCTCGTGTTACTTTCCTTTACACCATCCAAAGGGGCATTACGTGGAAAATTTCTGTGTCCTGGGATCTTGTAGAAATCCATAACACATGACATCTTAATCCTGTGTTTCTCCTATTCTTATGTTTTCTAATTCCTTTGATCCAAATAGGCCTTCTAACACTATTAGTTAGTTTGATTCAAAAGATGATTAGCAAATGAATGACAGAAGTGGAAGCAAATCATAGGAAATAATTTCTGACAAGTGACACAGTTAACAATATTTAGAAAGAAACAGTTGACAGTGACGCTGCAGGGCTGGTCAAATGTGTGTCACTCCATGACCCATGCTCTCAAGCGTAACTACTCTACTACCTCTCTCCTAGAACGGGATAGAAAATGTGAGACTGGGTAGTCTCATTAACTAACAAAATGAAAATATGACAAGGTTAAGGGAAAAAATAAGTAAAAGCATTGAATGGTTCCTCGTAACAATGGGGTGAACATGGCTATGGTACAACTATTAAGGGAATATATATGATAACGTGAAATAAAAGTTTATTGTTGTAATAAACTAATAGCACAGATGGAAACCATAAGGTTATTTTCGTTCTGTTATTGTTGGGTATGATTTCTAAGATTTTCCAGTCCACACTTTCTCCTCAATCCTCGTTTAAAGGCCACTAAGAGTAGTTCCACACTAGAGCACTTGGCATGGGTACTCGCACATACACCCTCCGTCCGGAAATACTTGTCCAAGGAATGGATGTATCTAGATGTATTTTAGTTCTAGATACATCCATTTGTATCCATTTCTACGACAAGTATTTCCGGACGGAGGGAGTACTTTACTAGCACCGTGGTGTTGCCATCTCTTGTTTCGTTTGTGAATATTTCATTAGTTGAACAATTAGACTGGTCATGTCTGCGAAACTATTTCATTTTATTTTCGTCTATTGCAATGGTGTTTGGTTCCAGTCTGCAAGTCGGTATGAAAAAGAAAAGATGTTGATGAAGTGGTGGCCATTGTTGAAGAAGAGAGAAGTTGCAGTCCGGTAAGTTGCGTCACCGGAGGCAGCCAGCGTGACAAGATGAACAGGTAGTCTTCTGCGTGTCTCGTTCGTGTAAAGAGTCGGATGTTTGGATTAGGGGGTGAATGTTGGAGTAATCCAAACTGAAGTTGTTCTAGTGCTAGTCCCGTTAGGATTAGTACTAGGATGCGACCAACGTGGCCGTATAATTAGATTAGGAAAAATACTAAGTTGAGTCCGGCTAGGACTTGGGCCTAGCTATCTAGCTGCGTTGGTACGAGTAGTACTAGGTCTTCTTTAGGTATATGTGTCAGGAGTATACCTAAGTCCAACGCAGCTAGATAGCTAGGCCCAAGTCCTAGCCGGACTCAACTTAGTATTTTTCCTAATCTAATTATACGGCCACGTTGGTCACATCCTAGTACTAATCCTAACGGGACTAGCACTAGAACAACTTCAGTTTGGATTACTCCAACAAATGGCGTCCACGTAGTACCACATCTATTGTTAATGGGTTGGGTGCTACAAATGTTACCAAACATCAACCCTAGGTACACAGACTCTGCGCGTGTGGCCTTGTAGGGGCTCACCGCACGAGGCATCTACTGAGGAGCATTTCGGGGCAGAATGTTGCCAAGGTCGTCATCCCTTTAGTAGTGTGTGTAGAGGGGAGGGGGTTGGGGTTACGCCCAACCCTTAGTGATGCACTGCCAATTTACCTCGAGTTAGATTAGCAAATAATACATGTTGGCCCGAATAGTAGCACTTCCGGGTTAACGCTTCTGAAATGAAGCTAGGGCTAAAACTCAAAACAATTGCTACACATGGGTGTGTGCCCCAGAGTGGATTGAGGTCTTAGTGAATTTGGCCTATAGGGCATTTTACACTAAATCTCGTAAAAAAATGAAGGTGCTTGCTGTCCAATGCCCACCTTTTTCGCTTAAGTGAATTTGTGTTGTGCTCTTGTCTTGCTGAACAGCTGAAATTACTACTCCCTCCGTCCGGAAATACTTGTCGAAGAAATGGGTAAAAATGGATGTATCTAGAACTAAAATGCGTCTAGATACATCCATTTCTCCGACAAGTATTTCCGGACGGAGGGAGTACTAAAATTAGTATTTATTTTATGTTTGAAATTTTTGGTCGGAATGAACCTTATATTGATGCTCATTTACATTGCTCCTGATATCAAATGATTTTAGAGCAACATAGTTTCATGCATGTTTGTTTGAAATGACCAGCGTATAAGTTAGGATAGATCAGGGACTAGAATATTTGGCCTACCTGTGAGCTCTTTCGGTCTGGCCCACCTGGCCTACCAGCGTAGAAGTTAGGATATATCAGCGTATAAGTTAATTGAGCTGATATTTGGCCTACCTGTGAGCTCTTTAAGTCTGACCCAGCTACAATCAGCGTCTGCCACATGAGGCTCATGCTTCTAATCTGGATTATGAACAGATAGTCCGCTCTAGCTACTTTATAATTTGTGGTTCGTCCATACAGGAGGACCTTCATTTCCTCTTTGACAGCTGCAGTCCTGTGTTACTTAAACACCTAACGGTTCAGCAAGGGCAATCACATTGCCATCCACGACTTCATTGTTCCTTTTGTCGATCTGTTATGGACATCACTTTTTTTTTCTCGAATGCGCAGGAGAGCTGTGCATGATTATATTAAGAAGACAACCATGCTACATAAGCCCTCGCCGAACAAAACTAGAGTACAGCCATCGACCAAATAAACACTCACGGTCATATGCTACTAAGGCCTTTGGCCCCCGCCATAGCATCTCTAATGTCTTGCATGAGAATGTGTGTGTTGGTGTTGTTCTTGAACAAAAAAGGAAACAGTTTCAGCCTGAAATCTTTATTCATTGGTTAGAATTTACAGTATGTTGCTGCGTGTTAGTGCTTATTTACCTTTCCATGGCCTGGAGGTGCCAAAGGCCTATTTTTGTTTGACCCACTGATTACTTGGTCTGACCCACAACAAGAGCTAAGGGCCAGTTCTTTTGAGGTGCAGCTTATGCATAAGCTGCGATGGGAATAAGCCTCACAGAAGCTGCCTTGGAAATAAGTCCATGAGAATAAGCCATCCAGTTCTTTTGGGCTTTTGGCTTATTTTCACAATAAGCTGAAATAAGCTGCAAAAGAACTGGCCCTAAATGCCATCCTGGACTAGGTTTGTGGTCAGCTCAGACCCTCTGACATAACAAGTTTTTGAAGTGGAATCCGAGGAAAGTGGAAGCTTAACTCAGTGTGATTTTTTAGTTCCACGCGGCCCTTTGTACCGACTTATGCATACGGTGTTTTACAATATTTACTTTGGCCCTAAACCATTCAGCCGGCTCTGGTTTTTGCTAATTAGAGGTTGTGGGCAAGTGGAAGGAGCATCCAAATATCTAATCTGTTTCACAGAACTCCATAGAGACAAAAGAGCTAAGGCTTGCGGCTGTAAGAAGAACCAATATCTCATCAATAAGGGTTCGATACTAATCTGGCCATGGAGAGGACAGCTAACTATCATGTGAAGGTAGCAAATTTTGGAGAAACTTAGTTGTGTGTATCTGTTATAATGGGAAATGTGTAGTCTTTGAATTTTTACTTTGTATGTCTTCCCATATTGGAAGGCAGTCTTCTAATTGCGTTCAGTAGAACCTTGACGCGTGGCTTACGTGCTGTCCAAGTTATGCAACTGGATATGTAGCTTTAGGTATTGTCTAATATATATCTGCTAAGGAGTAGGTGGCCTATGTTATTGGAATTCAAAAGAAACTACAGTCATGTATCGTGACTTCAGATATAAAATGAAGCAGCTTGTCATTTGTTTGAGTTGCTTCCATTTCAGTCTGAACTCTGAATGTAATGGTCCCTTTGTCTGTGTGATTGAGTCCTCGGAGAAAAGCCTCCAGGAAAAGAGTTAGTGTCGCAGATGGAAGGATAGTTTTATTTCTAGTTCTTGATACCTCGAGCGTGATTCCATGCAGGTTTATGTGATTGCAAAATCTCATTAAATGCGTGATAATGCGTTCTGTCTTTTCTAGCTAATGATCTTAAAGATTCCATTCAGATCAATTACCCTGTTTGCCAAATAGTATTAGTATTTCATGTTGACATCCTTATATAACTGAATTTTTAAGGTTGTGCCAGAGCAAGTCTAGTCTTGATTATGGTTTGTATCTGTTGTGTATCTATACAACTGTGTAAAGTAGATTGGAAATGCAGGAACCACCTTGTGTCTTTCCCTTTTATTCATGTTAAGATTACAGGGGTTCTTTTGTGGAAAATTTCAAACTTTTGTAAAATAGGTTGTTGGAAATGCAGGAACCACCTTGTGTCTTTGCATTTTATGCATGCTAAGATTTGAGGGGTTCTTCTGTAACAAAATTTCAAACTTTTGTTTCAGGCGGCAAAAGGTGCAGGTGTGCCTGTTATTTTAGATGCAGGTGGGATGGATGCTCCTGTCCCCAGAGAACTACTCGAACTGGTGGACATTTTTAGTCCAAATGAAACAGAGCTAGCACGTTTGACTGGGATGCCTACCGAGACTTTTGAACAAATCAGCCAGGCTGCAGGAGCATGCCATAAAATGGTGAGTTGTCTAAATCAGTTTTTTTATGTAGTTTGTTTCTCTGCATTTCTTCTATATTCAATTATAACTTCTAAGTTTGGCAACGAAGTTTTTAGAGAACCATGGTAATTGAAAACCACAGTATTCAGATGTGCACACAACGAATACTACAGTTTCTTGAAACCATGGTTTTTCTCAGTTTTAGCAAAACTACCTAGGTGTTTGGCTGGTGTTGCTATACTACAGACCGATTGTAACGCTGGGTGACATCTGAAACTCACTGAGCTACATGACCTAACGGCCGCCGGGTGCATGCAGCTTCTACGCACAAGGTCAGCTCGTCCGCACCTATGTAGCACATTTGCGTACTGCTATGCTAACTAGGCAGGCGCAAGAAACAGATCGATCAGCCGGCCTTCAATGGCTGGATTAATTTAACCATGGGGTGCATGATTAATCAAGAGCCTGTGGCAACTTAAGTTCATTAATCAACTAGATTGAAGTAATACAATCCTAGGAGCGTGTTGCTATCATATGTCTATACGTGCATGTACTCTGGGAGGCGGACCAAAATTCTTTGTGCGTGTACGATGCGCCATTTATACTGAATCGGCTACCTAGCATATATATCCGGTTGCATACAAGTGTTCTTCTAAAGGACCAATCGATCTAATCAGTGCGCTACTAGTCCGAAATTAATCGACAGCTAAGGACTCCATGGAGAAGCGTGCAAGATCACTAGAAACTAATCAGTGTTGTAATCCCATGCAGCGGCGTCATATCTAATATATATGCCACCCCTTGTAGCAGTCTTGCAATCAGACTGGACAGATGGAGGAAAATTAGGAGACGATCGCAGCTAATATTCTTATCTCAACGTAGATGGCAACGTGAAGTGCACTTTCTCTCTGTTCTGTTTAGAAAAAAGAGGTCTAGACCACTTTTTCAAATACTTTGAAAATACCACAGTTTTTATAATACTCCCTCCGTTTTTATTTACTCTGCATATTAGAGTTGACTGAAGTCAAACGTCGTAAAGTTTGACCAAGTTTGTAGAAAACAATATAGACATTTATCATAATAAATCTATACGATGTGAAAGTACATTCAATAATAAATCTAATGTTGTTGATTTGTTATTGTATATCTTAATATTTTTGTTTAAAAACTTGGTCAAAGTTTGTAAAGATTGACTTTGACCAAAGCTAATATGCGAACTAAATAAAAACAGAGGGAGTATTATGGTTTACAAAACTTCAGTTTTTGTTGAAGCCAAACACATCAAAGTATTCAAAACCAAGTTTTTTTCCAGAAACCACGGTATTCTAGAAAAACTACAAAAATACTTTGCATCCAAACGCACCCCTAATTGTTGCTCTTTTGTTTCTTTTGATTAGCCATGACTAGATCTTAATATCTTTATTTAAGAAACTTCAATTAATGATGTTGTGTTATGGCATTTATCTGATAATAGCCATCTCTAAAGAATGTGTTGCTTTCCTTCCATTCTCCCTTCGCGTAGGTCTGTGCACGTGTGTTTCCCGTACACCTATTAGGAGTGTTGACTCTTACTGTTCTATACAAGTTTTCAAGTTAACACTCCTATGTGCTGTCCAAGTCTGCGTACAAGTGAAATTTGCGATTTGCAAAACTGTACAAACTTTGGATCTTTAGTTCCTACCTGCAAATCGGCTGCTAGTTACACAAATTATCATAATTCAGCAAGCTCCTGTAGTCATTTATAGTTTTGTACACTTTGGCTACTCTGTGATAGTGGTCCAACAAGTACTTTTCGTGAATGGCAGTGGGGAGCTGCTTGAAGCGAATTACAAATTAAGTACACAGGAAAGAGTAATCAGTTAAATTTCTTGTGCTCAGCGACGTGTTGGAGGGGGCATGGCCCTCCCTGGTAGGCCCTAAGCATGAGGAACGGCCCTAAGCTATGTAGTTGTAATAATTCTTGCATGTGTACAAGAAAACAGATTTTTTGTATCTCTAACAAACCGGCAGAGCGTACGTATGCTATTTTGATTTGAATGCCAATCCCATGGCAGTGGCTTGTAGATAACATTGGTAGTGCAATCTGAAAAATAACAACAGCATCTGATCACAGAATGGCCATTCGCCAAAAGTTCAGAATGTGTTCATAATCAAGGTTGGCCCATGAAATCTTTGTGCTTAATTCACTGGAAAATCGGAAAAGCAATATCTGATGTTTTTTGTTTGATGCTGTCTGGTCTGATGCCATAGCATAGATAAGTCTAATTGCTTCTTGTGTGTCCATAGCCACAATTTTATGGCAGGCAGTGTATTTGTCAGGATATTTTTTTTTGAAACTGGGCAAAAGATTTGCCACTTTCATTGATTAAGAAGGAGGTTTAGAGTTTTGGCCACAGGCCGAATTACAAAGACATCACTCTCGCGGCACTACTGTACTCAAATATTTTGCCCCTGCAAGGCACCAAGACTTTGAAACATCTTTGATTCTTGCAACAAGAACCCCAACCGGCACCGCGGTGTTACGGAAGACGCGTGCATTCCTCTCGTTCCAAATTTCCCATGAGATCAACATAATAAGAGACATCATCGCCCGTCGAGACTGTGATGCGTTGGAGTCAATGAGATTCCACCAGGCTTTCACCGAATGGACCGTCACCCAAGCTGTAGGGTTCACATCAACCAAGCCAAGCCAAGATTTGATCATTTCCCAAACTCGGACCGTGTAGCGGCATTGGAAAAGGAGGTGAGCCGCGGTTTCCTGAACTTGCTTGCAGAGGGGGCAGCGATCACAGTTAGGCCATCCACGGCGTTGGAGCCTGTCGGCCGTCCATATCCTATTGTTGATCACAAGCCAAGCAAAGAATTTGCATTTGGGGGGAGCCCAGATCTTCCACACCAACTGTTGCATGTTGGAGTCAACTAAGCCCAGGAACTGGACCTTGTAGGCCGAGGACGCGGAGTAAGAGCCATCATTAGAAAGCTTCCAAGAGATAGAATCAGCCACGTCGGGGTTGAGTTGCACCACAGATAATTTCTCCCAAAGGTTGACGAACTCGGTCAGGTTTGTAGCGGAGGTGATCCCATCTGTTTTGACTTGAGAGACCCAGAAGTTATTATCCAAAGCCTTCTGAACCGAACATCCCCTTCTTTTTGATAGGTCAACAATCTTCGGGGCGATGTCTTTGGGTCTCATGCCATCTAGCCAAGCAGACTCCCAGAAGGAAGCACGAATACCGTTGCCAAGCAACACGTTGGTGGCAGCAGCAAAAATGTTTTTATCATTCTCATCACAGGGGTTGCCCAAGCGAACCCACGGCTTCACCGGATCCAACCATTCTGCCCAAAGCCATCGGATACGAAGCGCGGACGCAAACTTCCTCATATTTAGGATACCTAGCCCCCCATGGGCCTTGGACTTGCAGACCTGTTCCCAGTTGATCTTGCATTTGCCACCGGTGACCTTGTCACAACCAGCCCAAAGGAAAGCACGCCGAAGAGAATCAATCTTTTCCAGAACCTCAATTGGAAGGTTTAACGCTGTCATATAATAAATGGCAATGGCCGTGAGGACAGACTTGAGCAACCATTAGCATGCCCAACCATGGAGAAATCTTGGACGCAATCTTGTCCTCCAGGGGCTGAAAGTGAATCCTACTCAACCTCTTGACCGACAAAGGCAGCCCAAGATACTTCATCGGGAAGGTAGATCGGTTAGCCGAGAAGGGATGCAGAATATCATCAAGGTCCAAGTGATCACATCTGATGGGGGCAACCATGCTTTTAGAGCAGTTTGTGATCAGGCCAGTGACCTCACCGAAACAGGCAAGGGTTTCTGCAAAAAATTTGACCTCGGATTTAATTGGCGCAAAAAAGACCGCAGCATCGTCCACATATAAGGAGGCACGGATAACCATCGCATTTCCATCAAGAGGGTGCAACTTGCCTTGCTCAGTGGCCTTTTGAAGGATATGATGCAGAGGGTCAATTGCAAGCACAAAGAGGAGGGGGGAGAGGGGGTCCGGTCCCCCTGTCTGAAGCCACAACCTTGTGATATTGGACATCCAGGAACACCATTGAGAAGAACCCTCGACGAGGCAGTAGACAGGAGGGCCGAGACCCAGCCTCGAAAGCGAGGTGGGAAGCCCAGGTGGTTCAGCAAGTCGAGGAGGAAGTCCCATCTGACCGAGTCGAATGCCTTTTTGATATCAAGCTTGAAGAGCAGAGCCGGGGTTTTTCTGCGGTGAAAGCGTCGGGCCAGGTTGCGAACGTACATAAAGTTATCATGGATACATCTTCTTTTGATGAAGGCGCTTTGAGCTTGGGAAACAAGGTCATTCATGTGGGGAGCCAAACGGTTGGACATGACTTTGGCGATGATCTTCGCGATGGCATGAATCAGACTAATGGGGCGAAAGTCAGAGATGTCTTCAGCACCATCCTTTTTCGGAATAAGGGCGACATCCGCAGTGTTCAACCAGTGCAAATGGGAGGCATGGAGATTTGAGAACCGGTTTATAGCCAGCATGACATCAACCTTAATTATGGTCCAACAAGATTTGAAGAAGGCCCCGGTAAAGCCATCCGGACCCGGTGCCTTATCGCTTGGCAATGAAAAAACTGCGGTTTTGACCTCCTCCTCGGAGATGGCCTCATCCAACTCATGAAGGTCGCAGTCTGGAATAGGAAGAATGTCCCAGTTGATATCTGTTTTGCGCGCGGGGCCTTTTTTAGTGATGTTCTTGAAGTGACAGTGGATAATGTTCTCCTTAAGCTTGTGTTCCGTGACCCAGCCACCGTTGTGCTTGAGGCGGTGAATGAAATTTTTTCGCCTACGATGGTTGACCCGCAAATGGAAGTAGCGGGTGTTAGCATCTCCTTCTTTCAGATTAGTTATCCTTGAATTTTGCCTCTTTCTTGATTTTTCCAAAACAGCCCACCCAATGATCTTCCTCTTTAACCTTCTTCGAATATCACATTCATCATGGGAGAGTTCTCTATGTTCCTGGGCCAAATCGAGACGAAGGATCACCTCGAGAGCCATGTGAAGCTGGATCTTTGCGTTTGAGAAAAGAGACTTGCTCCAGGAGCGAAGTCTAGCAGCTGTAGTCTTTAGCCTGTGGAAAAGCCTTTGGTATGGCTCCACATGAATGGAGTCCTCAGCCCAAGCATCAGCGACAACCTTTTTGAATCCGGGCATCTTAGTCCAGTAGTTCTCGAAGCGGAAGGTTTTGGGTTTCCGCGGGCCATCGTCATTAGCCAATAGTAACGGGCAGTGGTCAGAGAGCAAAGATGATAAAGCATGCAGAATATGGGAGCCGAACTCGATATCCCAGTTATCGTTGCAGAAGAATCCGTCGAGTTTACACAATGTTGGATTAGAGCGCTCGTTGCTCCAAGTGAACTTCCGGTTCTGAAGATGAATCTCTTTTAGTCTGCAATTTGCAAGAGTGTTTCGAAAACGCACAAGACGGCTACGGTCAACATTAGCTCGGTTTTTGTCTCTAGCACGGTAAATTTGATTAAAGTCTCCATTGACAAGCCATTTTGTTCCATCAGGCGGCTTCTGGGAGGTAAGCTCGAGGAAGAAGTCGTCTTTGTGGATGCTTCTGGTAGGTCCATAGACCGTGGTTAACTTGAAAGTCTTTGCATCTGAAGCATTGTTGAGAGCAACCGTAGCAGAAAGAAAGTATGTGCCATACTGAACACTTGAGATGGTTACCACAGAGTCGTCCCACAACAGTAAGATTCCACCTCTAGTTCCATCCGCCGGTCTGTGTGCGAAGTTCTTGAGGCGGTATCCTCCCAGGTAGGCAGCCATATGAGGGTCGATGGTCTGGAGTTTGGACTCCTGGATGCAAACTAGATGGCAGGAGGAGGCAGCAATTGTTTCATGGACGACAGACTGGCGATCTGGACAGTTTAGACCACGAACATTCCAGCACAATATAGCAAGGTTTTGTTCTAACATGATTGCACAAAGATTACATCAGTACAGTGCTCAAGGAACCACAACGACAACAATGGTCTCGCCAGGACCAGCAAAGGCAGCACTATGATGCTGCAAACAGGCGTACATCTAGCAAAATTCAGTTCAACTATCATCAGGAAACTAAGCTACAACTAAGTAGCAAAGCTCAGGCCTCAGCCGCGGCAGCCTCGCTTGAGTCGGGTCCTCCTTCGCCTCCATGCTGCATCAGGGCTTCTTCTACCGCTGAGAAGAGATCACAGTCCAGCTGGAATAAAGCACGCAAGGCCGCGACAGCAATATCAGGGAGACGCCCTTGAAACATATCGGCAAACTTAGCAATTGCCGTCTCTGTGACCTGCTCCCCATCAGCAAGCACCCCCATGCGTTGACACAGGAGTTGTTCAGCGAGCCTCGCAATGGGCATCGTCCTCTTCTTAGCACCAAGTCTGGGACTCTGACGCGGCAGTTGAAAGCCAGTGACTCCAGCCATCGTCTTCCGGCGAGCGGTAGGACGTCTTGGAGGTGTCGATCTTGGTGGGGGAGATGGTAGGAGCGCTGGCATGCGAGGGATAAAAATTGGAGTGGCAATCTCTCTTTCTTCAACCGCAGCTTCAAGTTGGACAGTGGAGGCATCATGGATTGGTGTTTGATCTGAGCTATCACCGTGGTTATCATCTTCATGCGCAACTATCTCATCTTCAGGTTGAGCAGGAGACATCACTGTAGTGTCAAATTCCCTTTCTTCAACTTCGGCTTCAGGTTGGACAGTGTAGGCAAACTGGGTTGGTGTTTGATCTGGGCTGGTACTATGCTTTTCTTGAGCTTCATCTTCAAGCACCACAAGCAAATTTTTTATTTGAGCAGGAGAGTGAGCATTGCCTTGTGGGAGATCAAAACTGTTACACTTGTTACGATCTTCAGGACCAACTTCAAGGCATGGTGGAGGTGTTTCCATGGCAAAATCAGACGTTGGAGTTGGGGTGGCCAACACAAACTCCGGTGTAACCGTGCCATGCTCTTCACCAAGTGTCACGGAGGGTTGGATCTTAGAAATTCTGCTAGCAGTACCGCAGAGCCATCCTAGACCACGCCCAGCAGTGTTGATCTCGATCACGTCGCTGGAGGTGGTACGCGGGGAGGGCGGCAGTGAGCGTCCACGGCTCACCGTCCTGCACCCCTCAGACGAGACCTCCCTAAGAGGGTCGCACGCCCGGCGTCGACCGTCACGCCCGCGCTCTTCGCGCCCACGATCAGCGCCGCGGTCATCACGGCGTCCATCATCACGGCGCTCAGGAGCCCGTGAACGACTGCGAAAGAGGCCCCGCCAGGAGGAGGACCGCGGTCTGTCGTTGTCGCGTCCACGCCTGTCCTCCCTGTCACGATCGTCATCGCGTCGGTGCCGATCATCGTCATCTCGGCGTCGAGGTGGAGGTTCATGGCGGTCCCTTGCCCTGACCTCGCCGTCCACCACACCATAGCGCCAGGTGAAGGGGTCTGTGCGTGGGCGGCGAGGGATGTTTCCAGCGGCGTCGGGGGTGTAGTCCTCTAGCTTGTCAAGGTGCACGATGGCGCGGCGACGAAGGCCAGCGTGCCCAATGGCCGAGGACGGAGCTCCACCCACCCCAGTGGCCATCCGGGGAGCGATGGTGACGAGCTGCACCTTGGGGATAGCTGATGGATTCGCTGACCAAACCCACAGCTTGAGGCAAGAGGCATCTTCTTGCCGCAGCGTAGCGATGTCGAAGTAGTGGAGGAAGGTATCCGGACCAAGCACTTGAGCTGCCACGGCTTCGGACCAAGCATTCAGGGGAATGCTCTCGATGCAGAGGTGGACATGGTAGTTTGCCCGGACCACGTCGGCGTGAGCGTCAAGGCGCCAGTTGGTGGAGTGCAGGTCCAGGCCGTTGTGGCGGAAGCGCCCCTCCGTCGTCACCCTGTCTCGCTGATGCTGATAGTCGAACACGGCGAAGAAATCTTCAGGAAAGTGGGGAACGACCTTGACATCTCTGATCCCGAACTGCATGTCGATGGCTTCCTTGATCTCAGCAGCGCTCACCACCGGTCTTGTACCGCCAAGCCAGATGAGGGCGCCCAGGGATGCAAGGGACGCCGCATTAGCATCCATCTCCTGGGTGGAGACGATGACCACACGGCCCTCCTCAGGCCGCAGCGACGGGTCGCCAACGCGGAGCGGCTGCCTTGACATGGCGCGCGGCGGCGGCAGCGAAGCAGGCGATGCAGATCGAGGCGTGGCCGCCGCAGGAACCACCAAGGGGGTAGCAGAGGAAGGCGAGGTTGATGCAGGGGACAAAGGGGAGGGTGATGGGTCGTTGGTGCAGCCCCTCGCCCTGTGTCCGATTCTTCTACAGCGACGGCAAGTGAACGGATTGCGGCAGTCCACCTTACAGTGGCCTTTGAGGAGGCAGCGATGGCATTCGCGGTCCTGGAGCCTGACGAAATCCTTCGTCCGCTGTGGAGGGGAATAAGAGGATGGGGCTTTGCGACTTGAATGCCGGTTGTTGGGACGACCTTCACGCCACCAGTACGCTGGACGCACCAAATGCCATTCAAGAGCTGAGGAGACCTGTCTTGAATTCTCCTCTGAAGGCGTAGGGCTCGAGGGCGCGCTGCAGTTTGCACGCCGAGCAGCAGCCTTGAATGAAGCCGCTGGGGCGGACTTAAGGCATGGCCGGTGGGCGCCATGAATCGGGGGAGGCGGCGTAAACTCCAGGAGCTCTGCATTAATGGCAAAGCTTACTTTGCGGGGCAGCTCGGCCTCCTCTGGAGCGCCCGCAGAGGCCTCGGCAGGGGCCTGGACAGGCAGGGACCGCAGATCTGGGCGGACTGCGACCAGCTGGGGGAAGATGGATGCCACCAGATCCGGGCGCAGGAACCACGGGGACGGGAACCCCGGAGGGAACCGAGGGGAGGGCGAGGCTGAGGAGGCGTTGGGCGGGGAGGCCCGAGCTGTAGCGGCTGGAGCAGCGGCGGCGGAGGTGGCTGCGGGCGCCGGAGTGGCGCGTCGCAAGAGGGTGGGCGCTGGAGGCATCTTCCGTGTTTGTCAGGATATTGAAGTAAGAAAAGAAGTGTAGCGCATAATTGATATATTTTCTTCTTTTTACAGTCACAAAGCGATGAAGTTGCAGACGTCTGTGTTGTTATATGTTGATAGCATTTGCCCCTATTCCCACTTCATGGCTTTCCATTACCATGTTTCAACAGTATATGGGCTTCATATTCCACTTTAAGCTGCCAGTACGAGGATTTGATTTACAACTAATTGTTTTCCTGTCAATTCCCTGTTTTTGTTTACCTTATATTGTGGTTTCTTTACGATAACATGTTCAAATTGTACTCTTTTGTTTGCTATAAAGGCTAGCAGTTCCACTTGATATATTCCATCGGCGAGATGCATTGCTATTTAAATCTTCTACGGAAGCTCTGAATGCATTGAACCTTATGGTAGGAGGACATTGATGCTATTTCCTGCATGCAGGGTGTGAAAGAAGTTTTGGTTAAACTTGGGTCACAAGGATCTGCTCTGTTTGTGGAGGGAGAGGAGCCAATTAGGCAGGCGATAATACCCGCCACAGAAGTAGTAGACACCACCGGCGCTGGTGACACCTTCACCTCAGCTTTTGCTGTAGCTCTGGTGGAGGGGAAGCCCAAGAAAGAGTGCATGCGATTTGCTGGTACTAAAAGCACCCTCCAGTCAAATTGTTGGTTCTGATCTATTGTTGACATGTTGATTTGAGTTTCTTCTTCTTCTTGCATTTCAGCTGCCGCTGCCTCACTGTGTGTTGGAGTGAAGGGAGCCATTCCCAGCATGCCTGACAGGGAAACCGTGATGAGCCTTCTAGAATCTGTGCAAGCTGAATAACCGGAGAAACGGTGACTTTACCCTATTCATCAGCAATAATGTGAGCTGTTAAGCTTCAATCTCCTCTTTCGGTTCATTTATTTCGGGTATCTATATATATTTGTAGCCCCGTAAGTTATGGTAGAGGAAATAAGAGAAAATGCCATTCCTCGCGCCGCCCTCCGTAGAAACAGAAACACTGGTTCAGGAGTTCTAGGTCTGCTGTTTTTATAGCCATTCCCTGTTGCTATGCCATAGCTTTTTCTATTGTTATTAGGCATCGCCCGTTATCCTTCTCGACCTAAATTTTTCCCGTTGTTAGAAGTCATTGAACTTCACAAAACCGCCATGCCCTGAATGCAGGAATTGCTTTTGCTGTGAAACACTGGTGACGGTGAAGGGGGTTAGTAAGGTGTCACTGTCTGGCTCAAATCTAACAAGCATTCCTTTGGCAGGATCGGCTAAACATCCGACGGAGCTCCCCCGGAACCCTCGTGTGCTGCCCCCGGCCCAGTAACGTGCTAGTTAGTGGTGGTCTCTAAATGGAAACGCATTTTCCGGGGCCTATGCCGAGCAAATCCCGCACCCTCGAAATAAAAAAGGACACCTGAATGGTTTCACTTCAGAGAGATAGAATGAGCAGTTTCAGGTTTGGCCTGGCGCTGATGAGCTTTCCGAACTCCGACGGCGACTCCGGCACGGGTCAATTCATGATCTTATTGTTAAGCCGGGCCGATGTTAACCGCTCGCTGCTATCGACGGCCATCATCCGTCTTTTTCGATCCAGTCGTGGCCCGCTGCCGATCGCCGTCGCGCAGGCCCATCGGCGCGGTTCACTCCCTCTCACCGCCAACGGTGAAAGATCTCGCCGCTGCACCGTCGCTGCCGGAGAAACGACGCATGCCTCGACTGATTGACTGCTCCTAGCTAGTAAGATCGTCCAGAATCCAGTAGCCCAGCAACGTTTTTGCAGCTTCCGGGGGATCTGATCGTATCTGATGACGTACGCGTCGTCCGTCCGTCGAATCGGACGTTCGATGTGCCTCGCCGTACCCGTACGACGCCGACGGCCGGCATTTTCTCGACGAGCCCACCGACAGCAAACGTTCCTCACGGCCTTCTGTTTTTCCTCCTCCTCCCAACTTCCTTCCCTTGTCTCGCTTTCCGGGAGTATTCCCGGAATGACCGTCCTTGGGAGGGAGATAATAATAATATGTTTGTGTTTGTGGCTACTGCTGTGACGGAGCCATCGCACGGCCGCTCGCCATTAAGCTCGTCCGGGACGGTACCGCGGCCGATGGCGTCGTGGTGGTGGCGGAGGCGGCCACTTTGAGTCTTCCTCAAGGCTGCAACCTGAAACGAAACCAACGGATGGATGGGTGGATGGATGGATCGCTCAACAAAGGCGACGTCGCTTTCGCAGATGGCTTAGCAATCCAGCTTCCTCTCGCTATGCAACACCGTCCGGATAGTTAATGCACGTGTCTTGTCACGTCTAATGAATCATATATATATACCAAAGCTACCACACACACACGCACATGCTTCCGTGCCGCGATCACATACATACCTCTGCAGCAGACAGCAGTAGCAGCACGAGAGTAGGAGTAGTACTATACGGGTGACCAAGGGGAAAGACATACTTGACCGTAGCAGAGATGTACGTAGGTCCATCTCGATCTTCTCGGATATCGATCCCACTGGCATTTTCTCTTCTTTTTGCATGACTCAGGGCAGAGTCAGAGTCAGAGTCAGATTGGCCGGGCCGGTCAAGAAGTGCGATGCGAGACCGACCTTCCTTTCTAGCAGAGCAGCCGCCGGCCATGTCGTTTGGAAGTATGCAGCGGGGCGATGGCCGGAGTTATAACGGTGGCCTTGACTTCCCTTGCGTTCAAAGCTACTCCTACATGCCTCTGTCCAACCAGTTTGTTCAAGCTAAGCCAATCAATGCACGACGTGACGCCTGCGGTCCATCCTGCCTGCTCCCTTTTTTATACTGTACCCCTCAAATAATTCTCAACTTACCCCCATACAGTTCCGTTACACACGCAGGAAATGTATAGTCGGTTTCGCTTTGCGTATACGATCTCTGTACGATAGTAAAATCCTGCATCCAATATTGATCTGCCCACTTGATCCAAGGCTGATGGACTAGTGTTGTACGCCCATCGTCTGAAAATTCGTCGTACGTGTAGCGGGGCTCATGGTCATGGACAAAAGAAGACCAAGATAACTCGCAATTTAGCTAGTCCCAAGATTCAAGTATTTGATCAACAGCCAGAGCATATTACTTTGGAAAAGTACATAATAGTGAATGGTATTGAGCGAATGTTTCCTGGGAGTGGTTTTTAGGAAAGGCTCTTTTGAGAGTCCAATCCCGTGCGCAAATCTCAAAGCGATCACAACGTAGCAATCCCCGTTCGCTTTCATGCCTCCTCCTGAGCGAACGATGTAAACCTTCTCTCTCATGCATCCTCCCTAACGAATGATGCCGTGTGTAGCATGGCACTCCCCTAACTATGAGTATTATGTCAATTACTGGAATTATTATGACAACTTCTCTGCGTAGCATGACAATTTCTGAACATGTGCGCAACTTTCCCTTTTCTTAGCCTGCCAATTCTCTCTTTGCAGCATGGCAAAACCCTGAAACGCATGGCAATTTTCTCTGTTACAACGTGGCAAATCCCTAAAACGTATGACAATTCGTTCTGCTATAACATGTCAATTATCACGGCAAATCTATCTGCCATAGCATGGCAAATCTCTCTATTATAGCATGCCAATTCCTAAACATTCCCTGGGAGTGATCTCTTGAGGAACACTCTTTGATCGAATGAGCCTCCCAGAGTGAAAGATCGTTCGCGCCAGGAGGGCACGTTAGAATCACAAAAGTAATACCATCGTTTTTGTTTTTTCCATGGTACTAATTTCCCATCGCCGTTTAGTTACTTTTGTATCAGAACACCTGCATTTTATTTGTCGGTTCTGGTCAAGCTTGAATGGTATCTTATAAATATAAAAAAAACAGGAGGAATACGAATTAATCCTAATTAAAATTGTGAAATTCTTTAGCCAAGAACTGATCAAAGCAGTACAGCTAGTGCTCACCAAATTAATACTATACACCTTTCTCCGGTGAGTATTATATTATGTTACTGTATGTGCTCCTGCTCAAGTTGGACATCAAGAAGGCTTTTGATTTAGTTAGATGGGAATATCTTCTCGACCTATTACAGAGGAGAGGTTTTCCTTCGAGGTTTCGTGAGTGGATCACGGCCCTTCTTCGGACATCTACATCGAGGGTTCTTCTCAACGGTGTTCCTGGCAATCCTATCCAGCATGGGCAGGGCCTCCGGCAGGGGGACCCAGTGTCTCCCCTTCTGTTTGTCCTTGCTATTGACCCCCTTCAGCAAATCTTGGACGTGGCAACAGAGAATGGAGACCTACACAGATTACGTGGCCGTGGTGCCCGCCTTCGCACCTCCCTATACGCGGACGACGCTGCCATATTCTTGGTGCCTATCAAGGAGGATGTGGATATGCTTGCCACCATACTTCAAAGCTTTGGAAACGTCACCGGCCTAGTTACGAACATTAACAAGAGTTTGGTGGCCCCTATTAGATGCTCCAATGTCGACCTTGACATGATTCTGGGTGCCTTCCTAGCAGTCAGAGCTCATTTCCCCTTGCGATACCTCGGCCTTCCGCTATCCATTCATCGTTTGCGGGTTGTCGACTTCCAGCATTTGCTTGATAAGATTGCTGGAAAGATCATGATTGGCCAGGGAAAGTACATTACGATGGCTGGGAGGAGCACGTGGGTAAAGTCAGTTATCACTTCGCAGGCCATCCACCATCTCACTTCGCTTGTGGTGCCCAAAGGAATGATGGCATCCATCGTCAAGCTGCAACGGGCTTTTCTTTGGGGAGGCACGGATAAAGTTTCTGCAGGCAAATGTAAGATAAGATGGGAGAAAGTTTGTACGCCCAAGGACATGGACGGCCTAGGCATCCTGGACATGGAAAAACCCGCACGTGCCTTATGGCTTAGATGGCCTTGGTTGGTTTGGAAGGACGCGGAAAGAGCTTGGGTTGATTTGGGGCATCCGTGCGATGAAGAGGACATGGCGCTGTTTTATGAGTGCACTTCCATCACTGTTGGCAACGGGCAAAGGGCCTCTTTCTGGCACTCCCCTTGGCTTGGGGGTCGCAAGCCAAAAGACATGGCTCCCTCCATTTTTGCAATTTCCAAACACAAGAATGACACCATCCATAGGGCTTTGGATCTCAACAAGTGGATTGCCAACATCAACACAAACTCTGGGCTCACAATTCAGCACATCCTTGAATACTATGAGCTTTGGGTTGGATTACGAGAGGTCTTCTTTGATGAGGGGGTGGATGATGAGATTGTTTGGAAGCTTTCGCCTTCCGGTGAGTACACGGCATCGTCGGCTTACAAAGCTCAACTCGACGACTCCACTACATCGAAAATGAAGTCTGCAGTGTGGAACAATTGGGCGCCGCCAAAGCATAAATTCTTCGCTTGGCTTATCATTCAAGACCGTGTTTGGACGGCGGACAGGCTTCAACGGAGAGGATGGCCAAATTGCGGCCTATGCCAGTTATGCAAGAGGGAGCCAGAGACGGCGGCACACATCATCTTCCGCTGTCGATACACGGTACGCATTTGGACGGAGATCAAGACTTGGATGGGTTTGACTGATGTGGACATCATCGACTGGAGTAACTTCAACAGCGTCAACGATTGGTGGCATCACATGGTAGGCGTCAATGGCAATGTGAGAAAGGGCCTCGCATCTCTCGTCATGTTGGTTTCATGGGAGATTTGGAACGAGCGGAATGCGAGAGTATTTAGGATGGTGTCCTCCATGCCAAATGTAATCACGTCTAGAATCAAGGCGGAGGTCAGACTTTGGGGGTTGGCAGGGACCAAACGGCTGAGTTCTTTTATGCCACGAGAGTAGGCTTATCGGTTTCGGGCGTCTACGGGCGGT